TGCGTTTTAAAATCTTGTGTAAGAAACTAAACTAAACCCCCCGAATGGAGGGTTAAAACACTTGACCAACCCCTCCTTCGGGGGGGTTGGTTTGCGTTTTAAAATCTTAAGTAAGACACTAAACTCGGCATTGTTGTGTTCCACAACAATGCCGTGTAAACAAATATCTGTTGACATTGTTGATGACGTCATTTTTTGACGACAAATTGGTTGACGACAACGACTAATCAGAAATTTTTATAGTAGAAGATTATAAATACAGTCACCTCTGCACTCATTGCTAACTACTTGCGAGATAATCTCCTAAAAATCCGCCAACATTGCGCAAAGAGTCACGTGAGCATTGGTCATTCTCTACGGTGAATCATTTGCGCTCAGTTCGCTACTTGTTGACACATTGAATGTGTTGAAAACTGTGTGCTGAACGTGTCTGTGTTGTTGTTCGACCACTGTTCTGCAGTAGCAACTGTTTTATATTTATAAATTGTAGAAGAGCCACCATGTCTGTTAAGAGAAGTGAATGTGTTGCTAAAAAGTTGCATAGGTCTATTGCGTTAGGCGATAAGATAGACGTAATTCTGACCATGTCCAGATTTGTCCTCGAGTCCACACATCTTAGTGACTGGTACTGGTCCTCTTTCTCTAGGAAGTAGAGCAGCTGGAGGTGAAACTGGTAGTTTACCTCATTGAATGCCAAGGTTAAGAAAGTGTGAGGATTTTCCTTAATTTTTCTTATATGCCAATACATTGTAGTGAAATTTTACCTTTGCTTAATTCTGTGTGGTGCCTTCAGATCGTAAGGGTGACTGCGAATCTCAGAAAGGATATCCCGTTCAGCCTGGTCCCTCAGCAGACACAAATCAGAGTTACCCACCTCCATATACAGACACTCCAGGCTCTGTAGTGCCACCGCCAAATGCTCCTCCATCAGGCTCCGGACAACCATGCGGCACCACGCCAAACCAACAAGCCAAGCCTGGTGGGGAAGACCCCCCTGGAGATTCAGCTGAGAACTTTGAATTCTCTGACAAGACCATTCGTCTTGGGTTTATAAGGTAACAGTATAATAAAGTGGATTGTTTCGAAGGTTAGGTGATTTGACTAGATGGTAATGTAATGCTGCTTATATCGTACTGTTTTCTTATTGATTGACCACTGGTGTTAAGATTAATGTTCGTTGTTGTTTCAGGAAAGTGTATGGGATTCTAATGGTGCAGCTATTGATTACGGTTGCGTTCATTTCATGGTTTCTATACCATGATGCCACAAAACAGTATGTTTTAAGTCATCCAGGGATCTTGTTTGGAGCTTTTGGTGTAACGATCGTATGTGTGATCGTGATGGCCTGCTGTGGCGAT